GGTATGCTTATTTACTTCCTTTCTTCTCCCTCTGTTCTCTCTCATCTCCCTGCCCGCCCCCACCCCACCCCCAACCATCATCGGCTGTTTCTTTTGGTGTGAAACCACTCTTCCTGGTTGTTGGGTTTGTTTGTTTTTGGGGGTCGGGTGGGAGACATGTTCACTAGATATTCATCCTCTATTCTGGACACAAGTCCATTCGAGCTCTTCTTCTTTTAGGGAGGCAAAATCAAGAAGGCATGGCGGGAATGGAGTGTGAAGGGGTCTTTTCGTGCCGGGCATGGGGTTCACGTCTGTCTGAGCATCTTCTGTGGCTGGTCATCAGGCAGGCAAGTGAGGGGAAGTTCCCTCTGCCTTTCACTCAGCCACCGGCCACCAGAGCCACCTTCGGGGAAAGAGCTGCTCAGCAGCCACAGCCACGCCCACTGCCACAGCTTCTCATTCCTGTGAGACGCACCGTCTCCGGCACCGTCATTAAAGCAAATCCCAGCGACTCCTGCCGGCTGCCCTGGACGGCGCCGGGTCTTAGAGCTCAGTGGGTGGTCCGTCCTGTCCACGGGCTGATAGAAACCACCAGAGCGGTGCCGCCGCTGCCGCGGTCTCCATGCTGATCCTGGCTGTGCTCACCTTCTTAAACCATGGTGCTCTCACCCAGCGCACGCCCTCACGGGATTGCCCCACTTTGACAAAGACAGGAGGCATTTGGATGACGGGGCTGGTGAAGAATATGGAGAGGACCTCCCTCCCCACCCCACCTGTCCAGAGAACAGAGTGCTCTGTCCTGGCGGGAGAACAGCCAGAGTTCCTCAGGACAAGGACAGAGGCTTCCTGTCCTTCGGACGTGTTTTCCGCAGGGACCCCTCCCTGGAGAAGGGCGTCGTGCTCGGTAAAGCAGAGGGGCGGTGACAAAGAGAACAGCCCTGGACAAAACAGGTGGACACAGAGGGCACGGGACCAGCTGGTGCTTCCCACAGGGGTCCCACCCTGCCGTTCTCCCACCAGCAGTGCGTGGGGCCATCTGGCCCTCCACCTCGTCCGTCCACGGCATTCCTCGTCCCCGTCTTTTTGTTTCAGTTTGTTTCTAAGTGTGCTGGCAGGCCGGGTGTGAGGGCATCTCGTCTCAAGGCTGTTTCACCCTGCGTGCCCCAGACCCAGGCCCGAGGGTTCTTGGAATGACTGCGGGCCGCCTGGGTGTCCCCTTGGGGCTGGCCGCGTCTGTCTTCTGTAGTGTTCTCCTGGGTCAGTGCATCGTGGTTTCCTCATGGAGGTGTTGCAGAAAGGGCTCTCTCTCGACGCTGCTGCCCATCTTCTCTTCCCGTGACCCTCCCGCCGCCCCGCCTGAGTGTTGGGTGGGTCACAAGGCCACCCGCCCCTCGACACCTCCTTTAAGCAAAGACCTTCAACTCGCTCCTGACATCACCATACCTTGCTCCTTGGAGCTCACCGAGCGTCCTCCCCTCCTCCCCCTCCTCCTCCCCTTCTCTTCCTCCTCCTCCCCCTCCTCCTCCTAGCTTGTTTGGACAAACCCGAGGCCTGCCCGGTGACTGGGTAAATCCTGTCGGAAGAACTGAGCTAGCCCCGCGGCAGCCCACAGCAACAGGAGGGTGACTGGATCAATCAGAGCCTCTCGCCCTGGTCTCTGTGGGGTCTGGGGAGGGTCTCCAGACGCCTGTGGACCCTGAGCTTTCCTGAAAGCATCACGGGAGGTTCTCAGGCAATGAGCTGTCTTCCATTCCTTCTGCGTGCCCTGCGTGAAGAGGTTGCCCACTGCCCGCCTGGAGCCCCAGTGTGGCTGGCCTCCGGGGCTGCCGAGTCCCTCCAGTCTTGCCTCCTGGAGGCCGAGGCTCCCTATTCCCCTGAAGCAGCAGTTCTTAGTCTGTGGGTCGTGACTCCTTTGGGGGACAAACGACCCTTTCACAGGGGCCGCCTAAGACCATCCAAAGACACAGATTTCTGATGGTCTTAGGAACCGAAACACCGCTCCTCTATCAGTCTCCAGGTGGGCCGCTCACATGCAGATTCGCCCACCTACGGTCCCTGCAGTGAAGACTGTTACCCATGCTACACCATGCTTCAAGACAACATTTCATTGATTTGTCATTAGAAATAACTATTTCACACTACCTAATTACATATTGGTTTTGTGGTTAATCACTGTGCTTTCATTATGTTCCATTTGTGACAATGAAAATGCTTCCTGCAGATCAGACATTTACATGACGATTCATAATAGTAGCAACATTACAGTGATGAAGTGGCAATGAAAATAATGTTATGGTTGGGGGGGTCACCACAGCATGAGGAACTGTATGAAAGGGTCGCGGCATTGGGGAGGTTGAGAACCACTGCCCTAAGAGTTACAGTCTCGGAAACCCACAGAGGCGGTTCTACCCCATCATCCTCGAAGGTCCCTGGGAGTCGGAATTAACTTGATGGCAATAGGTTTCGTTTGGCTTCGTTTTCCCCCTTCCAGCCACTCAGGCCTCCTGAAACGTCGCTCAGGATTGTGCAGTCCCTGGGGGACAGAGGTCCCCGGTGGTGCGGCCGGTGACACATTGGGGTGCTGATCACAAGGTCATCAGTTCGAAGCCCCCAGCCGCCCCTCTGCTCCCACAAAGATCGCCGGCCTCGGGGCCCTCTGGGGTCGTTCTCCCTGTCCCACAGGGTCCTCTGAGTCAGCACTGACTCAGTGGCAGGGACTGCGGTGTGGTTTGAGGGCAGAGTTGGTACTGCTGACGGTTCGGTCCGGTTGTCCGTGGGTGTTCGGTGCTCTGCGCTCTGACGCCTGGCAGAGTCTCAGCTCCCGCAGTCTGTGGTTGATCTGACGGAGCTCCTGAGTTATGAGCCCTCAAGAAGGAGCCCGGTCTTCCTAACCGACGACT